AACAGATAAAGGGATGGACTCCTTGCTACTGGTGTAGGATCTAAGTCCAGGTAAGAACCTTTGAGTACCTCTAATTTCAGTGTTTCTTCTATGTGAGAAACTGCCACAGATTTCAAGGGAAAAAAATGTTTTGATGAACATGATAAATATTACATGTTTTATGCTTTGTCTTCAGCACACTTATATTTAAGCCTATAAAATTTATTAAATATGACTTCTGGAGATAGATGAGCCTCAGGTTTCTATGCTCTCAAAGTTAAAATGTAGAAAATAAGACATTCATAATTTAAAAATAAATTTTGAAACCCTGTTACCATTACTTTCTAGATAAGTGAAACTTCAAGTTAAAAAAAACGGATCTCTGTTTATCTTCTCAAAATATACTACAAGGCATTTATTTTCACTGACTATATGGAATAATTAGATGTATTCCCTACTTTTTTTTATCCCATATTAACTGGATAATATAGGGTGGAGAGTTAGTTGGCAAACATAAAAAAAATGGGACATGTCTCAAAGTCACTTACCCACCTCTACGTTCCTGTTTCAACTCATTTGACTCAAGGTGAGGACAAAGAAAGTTTTCTAGATAATTTTGTCTCTGATCAAATGAGAAAAAAAAATTTCCCAGCATGGTTCCTGGCATAAACTAAGAATTCAATAAATATTAGTTCCCTTCTCCAATTCAGGAAGGTGGCTACTCTTAATAGACTATTGTGACTGCAAAAGTGAGGTAGAAAATGAAGAAAATCCTTCATAAAAGGTCTAAAAAGTTAATAAATTTGTTTTCTCTTTTTTTCCTCCTCGGTTCCATAGGTATACAGTAGAGACTGGGTCACCTGGCTTGCACTGCTTTTTTATGATCTCTCTAACAGTAAAAGCTTGACACAGGTAAGGAGAGGCTAGTGAGATTCTGCCCTCCGCTCCAGCCCAATCAAATGAGGCAGAACTGGGCTGTTCTGTTGAAGAAAGAATGGCAGTGCTGTGTCTGAATGCCTGTGGTTCTGTCTTAGAAACATATTGTGTCCCCAAAGTGTATTTAAATGTCAGTTGTTTGGGGCCCTGAGGGGAAAAAAAAAGTGTCCAGAGAAAAGTAAGTTAAATTCTCCAATCAGGTTTAAAATGCCATGATGAAGTAAAAAGTGTGGTGGTTAAGAGTCAAACCTAAATTGATACTCCAACTCCGTTATTACTTTGAGGTTACCTATTACAATTCAGTCTTTCTCAGACATGAGGGGGGGGAAGTCCTACATTTCCCACTTTTTTGCTATTTTTTCTTGGTATCTAGGAGAGAGGTATGGAATTGTAATCTATCTGAGAAAGTTGTAGAAATAACAGGGAAAAGTAATGACCGTGTTACAAGTTATAAGCAGCAGTGTGAGAAAGGTTTTTTTCAATTGGGAGTAACTGGGAAAATATCTAACAAGAGTGATTTGGGGCAGAATTACAATGAAAAGGTGAGGAAGAACATTACAGGTTAAGAAGAAACATAGGGCAGAGCGTTCTAGGGACACTTGATTCCATATGGCTGTAGGTGCTAATGGATGTGTTGGGAAATGAGACTAAAAACAAGGGCTGGGTTTAGTTTGTAAAGAATCTCAAATAGGAAGTGTGAATTTTATTCTGTATGATACAGGGGACCTCTGAAAGACTCTGAAGATGGATATGATAGAAATAAAATAAGAAATCATAATTTAATCAAATGCAATAAACAGGGCTAGACTGCAATAAAGAATACTTGTTCACAGGGCTCCTGGGTGACTCGGTTAAGTGTCCAGCACTTGATTTTGGCTCAGGTCAGGATCTCAGGGTCATTGGGGAGCCTGCTTGAGATTCTCTCTGCCTCTCTTCCCCTCCCCTGCTCACTCGCTCTCTCTAAAAAAAAATTAAAGAAAAAGAAAAAAGAAAAAGAATACTTGTTCAGTGGCCAAAAAACAAAGCACAACAAACAGAACTAAAGCTATAGGGTGTATATACACGTCATAAATCATTCAAAGAGATTTTCAGTAATAGATTTAAGTGGAAAAAATGACTTCCTAACCATTTAAATTCCGGGGAAAGATACAGAAAAGGTATTCATGAAAAATATAACAGGAAATTTATCAAAGGGCTGGTTATGACTTTGGGGTCCCTACTACTGATTTCTTCCTCAGTCTTCTCCACTTAGTACCTGAAAAGGTATAGGCATGTTTGGAGCACATGCAAAAAAAGTGGAATAACTAGGATTTACTTAGATGTACATAGACGTGGGTTTTTGCATTGATGCATATGTTTACATACACATGATAATATCTTCAGATATTTATCACTTCTACAGTTATACATTATCTATTAAATTGGCATTACATATATTCATTGTCTTTATAATATAAGGACTCAATAAATCCTGATTGAATAAATTAATAAAATACATAGTTGATCCTCATTATTCATGGATTCAGTATTTGTGAACTTGCCTTCTCACTAAAATTTATTTGTAACCCCAAAATCAATACTAATGTTCTTTATGGTCATCCATAAACTTGTCCAGAGTGGCAAAAAATCTGAGTTGTCCAAAAGACACGGTCCCAGCTGAAGTCAGACAAATGTGGCTCTGCCTTCTTTTTTTAGCTCTCATGTTCTAAACAAGTGTTCTTTTCACAGTTTATTTAGAGCCATAATTTTTCACTTTTGTGCTTTTTTTTTTTGATGATTTTGCTGTTTAAACAGCTCCCAAGTATAGTGCTGAAGTGTGGGCCAGTGTTCCTAAGTGCAAGAAGGACATGATGCACATGATGGAAAGAATATATGAGTTACATAGGCATCCCTCAGGCATGAGCAAGACAGTGCTATTGGCCACAAACTTAAAATTAATGGATCAACAATATACATTAAATAAGATATCTTTAAACAAAAGCACACATGAAACAAGGTTATAAATTGATTGGTTGATGAAAATGATGTGGCCAGAGATACACGGACATCTAACCCTCTATTAGGAACAATGTTCAGGTCTTGCTGTTTGCATCAACTTTATAGAACACAAGTACTGCAAATAATGAGAATCAACTGCACATATGACATATTTTAAATATATTGTATAATTATAGCCCTATTAATTATCATATATCTATGCTTATGTGTGTTCCTATATATAAATATCTTAGATACATAAGTATGTATTATGCAGATATGTATAAACAAGAATACATTTTCTAAACCTCAGCGAAGAACTCACTGTTCCATATAAAAGAGCAAATCTAAGGAACAAGTTGACTCATTTTACTAGTCTTTAAAGTAGAGGCTTAATAAAATAAGTCAATCAGAGAAAGATACATACCATATGATTTTACTTATATGGAGAATTTAAGAAACAAAGCAAATGAGCAAAGAGAGAGAGAGAGAGAGAGAGAAACCCAGAAACAGATTTTTTAACTATAGAGAACAAACTGATGGTTACCAGAGGGGAGATGGGTGGGGGGAAATGGGTTAAATAGGTGATGGAGATTAAGAAGTATACTTATGATGAGCAATGGGTGTTGTATGGAATTATTAAATCACTATGTATTACACCTGAAACTAATTATTACACTGTGCTGACTGGAATTTAAATAAAAACTCAAAAAATTAAAATTAAAATAGAGGTTTAACAATTTACAAAATTATAATTTATCTTGCATTTTGACCTCAAAACTCATAAGAATTTATCTTACACATAAATAAAATGACATATTAAAAAAATTTTCTAGGGGCGCCTGGGTGGCTCAGTCAGTTAAGTGACGACTTCAGCTCAGGTCATGATCTCGCGGTCTGTGAGTTCGAGCCCCGCGTGGGGCTCTGTGCTGACAGCTCAGAGGCTGGAGCCTGTTTCAGATTCTGTGTGTGTCTCTCTCTCTCTCTGACCCTCCCCCGTTCATGCTCTATCTCTCGCTGTCTCACAAATTAATCAACGTTAAAAATTTTTTTAAAAAAAATTTCTAGTATGAAATATTTAGACACTAAATGTTTATCAACATGTAACTAGATATATTATGGACAATAGGATAACTACAACCATAAAGAAACTGAAAAAAGTCATTTATTAATATAAAGTAGCATAAAAAGGTAGAGAGCAGTGTTAACGGTATGCCACCATCTGTGTTAAAAAAGGAAGCTATTATGTATTTAATTAAAAATGCATATCACATTTCTGGATAATATTCACTGAGAACTGGTTAAATTAGTCCTCAGAATAAGAGACTGGATGTTGGGTAGACAAGGGCTACAGAAAGATTCTTTAATATACGTCTTTTTGATGTTTTGTACTTCCAAATACATATATTTTACATACATGCAACTGCATACATTTTATCTTCAAAAGTAAATGAACAAAATAAAAATAAAGTAGGGTTGTGATAGTGGTAAGGTCAAGCATGGCCAGAGTCTCTCTGAGAGGTACTCTTTAACAAGTCCATCTCGACCTGCATTTCATACCTGGTTCCTGAGGTATCTCTTCCATGAAACCTTCTTAGGTCACTCTAATTACAATTCCTTACGTTATTTTTCTGTCTACCCATTTTGACTGTCTAGTATGTACAAGGCACGGTTTGACCCTTTGTAAAACTATAAAGATGAATTAAATATATATTTGCCTACCTAAATTTTATAATGGAGATATGTGAAACATTTAAATTTTTCTTTCAGTACTTTAAATTTTTGATCTCATCTAGTGTATGATCTATACTATTCATTTGTTGTTTCAAATTATTTTCAGAAATTTATCTTCCCAATCAAATTATAATCCCTGGAAATTAGGACTCTGTGTGTGCATGTGTTTCCCCCTTACTTTGGTGTCTAGCATTTGCCTAGTGCTCTGGACATTGAAGACCCCGAATGAGTATTAGTGGGTTTATCTATTGATTAATGTCAGCCTTACAGCATATTTCTGAATTATATATTGTCGAAGTGAAATAAGTTATCCTTTTTCTCCCTGAATAGGTGGTCGTTTCAAACCAAGCATCAACTACAATTGAAAACACTCAATGATGGACCCAAATCAACATTTGAAAAAGACAGCAGAGACAACACCTTCAGAGAAAAGGGAAACTAGATGCTGCAATGGATTCAGGGTAGAAAGAATTTCATGTTTCCAAATTAAAACAAGTGAAGGGGGAATTTAAAAAAAAAAAAACACAGCCAGTTTTTAAAAAGAATATTTCATTTCAAATTAGCATTTTTAATGAAAGCATACACTAAAATATTAATAGAATGATCTATATCATGATTTAAATGAGTCTTTAAATCTGAAAAAAGGAATTTCTTAGTGATACTACCACTGGCTAAGAGTTTGTTAATGTTAAAAATTTAGAAGTCTTTTGATTTAGAAATCTTCTCTTTGGTACTTGATGGACCAAAAGGTATTTATAGATGTCATTAAAATAAGTCACTATATAATGAATAATATATAAATATATTCTTAGAATTGACTTATAAGCAATGGATTATTTAGTCTTGTGAATCACTTTGCAGTCTTGACCTATTAATTTTTTTTCTTTTAGAGAAAGGCATTTTTCATTCTAATAATTTAAATAACAGAGTATGGTGGAAAAGAGATTTGTAGTAATAATCGAAAGACGTCCAAACACCTAGTTACTAACTACTAACTTAGGACAGCCATTTAATTTTTTCACATGCAAGTTACTGAAAATAATAATCTTGTGTTTTGATTTTGTCTTAAAACTATGAGACATTAAACGGTAGACTGTATTGGGATTTTCATAGAATAAAGTACTCCCTGAGCACAGTGTTGAAGAAACAAAGATTGAGGAAAATTGAGAAGTTTGCCTAAATTCATCTAGCTTGTAAATCAAAAACCTTTAAACCCACGTCAAAGCCTTTAAACTCCTGTAGAGAAGTTTTGAAGAAATAAAAAAAAATAATAATAATCATGGCTGCCTTTTATCAATATTTTGAATTTTTTTGTTTTTTGTTTTTTTTGTTTTTTTGTTTTTTTTTACTCACCGATGTAGTCTTAATTGCTGAATAAGGACTACAGAAGTCAGACTCAATTGCAATAATGTTATGTAAGGCCCCTTTTAACTTTGTCCAGAGAACATGTTTTGTTTGTTTTCAGATATTACTGATAAAGTCTGTTCTGATGAAATATTTGAACAGCAGTCACAGGTAAAAGGTAGTGGTAAATGTAAGTCTAAGGGTAATATGGTGTGCTGGGCTGTTTCTGCTTCTTTTTATTTATTTTTATTTTTATTTTTTAATATGAAATTTATTGTCAAATTGGTTTCCATACACCACCAGTGCTCATCCCAACAGGTGCCCTCCTCAATACCCATCACCCACCCTACTCTCCCTCCCACCCCCCATCAACACTCAGTTTATTCTCAGTATTTAAGAGTCTTTTATGGTTTGGCTCCCCCTTCTCTAACCTTTTTTTTTGTTTTGTTTTTCCCCTCCCCGATGATCTTCTGTTAAGTTTCTCAGTATCCACATAAGAGTGAAGGCATATGGTATCTGTCTTTCTTTGTATGTCTTATTTCACTGAGCATAACACTCTCCAGTTCTATCCACATTGCTACAAAAGGCCATATTTCATTCTTTCTCATTGCCACATAGTACTCCATTGTGTATATAACCACAATTTCTTTATCCATTCATCAGTTGATGGACATTTAGGCTCTTTCTGTAATTTGGCTATTGTTGAAAGTGCTGCCATAAACATTGGGGTACAAGTGCCCCTATGCATAAGCACTCCTGTATCCCTTGGGTAAATTCCTAGCAGTGCTATTGCTGGGTCATAGGGTAGATCTATTTTTAATTTTTTGAGGAACTTCCACACTGTTTTCCAGGGCGGCTGCACCATTTTGCATTCCCACAAAAAGTGCAAGAGAGTTCCCATTTCTCCACATCCTCTCCACCATCTATAGTCTCCCAATTTGTTCATTTTAGCCACTCTGAATGGTGTGAAGTGGTATCTGAGTGTGGTTTTGATTTGTATTTCCC